GTCAGGCCTAGCTTTCAACAATGGATTATCTAATATAATAACAAAAGCACAAACAGCAAAAGACAAAATAAATAAACGGGACCTCATAAAAATTAAAAACTTTTGTTCATCAAAAGACTTTACCAAAGAAGTGAAAAGACAAGCTACTGACTGGAAGAATATCTTCAGAAACCATATATCCAACAAGAATCTAAAACCAAAACATATATAAAACTTTAACAACTTAACAACAAAAGGACAAATAACCCAGTCGTAAAATGGGCAAAGGACTTGAATAGTCATTTCATCAAAGAGGACATTCAAATGGCCACCAAACACATAAAAAGTGCTCAGCATTATTTTAAAAAAGAGAGAGAAAGAGTAGCCCCAAAGAGAAACTATACCCATCAAGCAATGACTCCCCATTCTTCCGTGCCCCCTAGCCCATGATAACCACTAATCTACTTTCTGTCTCTATGCATTTGCCTTTTCTAGATATTCCATATAAATGCATCATACGACAACTATTTAGATAATTGTTTTTGATTCATTATAGTGTTAGGTATTTTTTTTTATTAATTTCAATTTGAAGCAACTTCACTCTACTTGAGAAAGTAACACTTTTACTGTAAGTTATAATAAAATTCTTAAAACAATACTTATACTTGGAAATAAAACATGAATTTTACATATTATGTTCAGATATTGTCATGGTCACATCTGATAAGTTATTGTTAGTGCAGAAAATACTGTATTTTACTTTTATCATGAAAATCATTATCACATCATAATTTTTACTATCTCTTGTAATATTTAGATCCATACAGTATTTCTTAAGTTCTTTTTAATTTCCAATGCTAGGATAAAGAAAACAAAAAATTGCAATATATTACCTAATTTATTCAACTCTCTCTACAGTCAAGACCATATCTTACCTACAGCGATTGGAAAATTGTCTTTATCAACATTACTTTGAGATTATTTGTACCTGACTCTCCTCCTTGGAGATCATGAAAACATTTTCATTTCCTTGCTCTAATTCTCTTGTATTTTATTGGCATATCACTTTTGATTTCACATGTAGTTTATTTCTTTTTAGCAAAACAACTTTCCTTAAAATTTAAAAGTATATATTTAATCCCTTTAAATGAAAAATTGTCACACTTAGATTTTCTTTTGCTTACAAGCAGAGTTCATATCAAGGTTAGCGTAAATCCAGAATTGATTTCATTTTTCCACCAAAGCCCACATTTTGCTTTTTATCTGAGGATCTTCTGTTGTTTCATTTAGCTCTCCTAGTACATCTTATACAGAGCCCTGGTGATGCAACAGTTAAGTGTTCAGCTGCTAACTGAAAGGTTGGTGGCTTGAACCAATCCAGCAGCTCCACAGGAGAAAAGGCCTGGTGATCCCATAGGGATTAATTAAAAAAAACAAAATCCATTGCTGTTGAGTTGATTCTGACTCATAGTTACCCTATGGGACAGAGTAGAACTTCCCCATGGGGTTTCCAAGGCTATAATCTTCTGTAAAGACTTGCAGCCTTAGAGATCTTATGGGGCAGTTCTACTCTGTCCTAAAGGGTTCACTCAATGGCAGTCAGTTTGGTTATTTGGTTTTAAGTTTTACGAGGGCAGCTGATGGGCTTGAACCACCAACCTTTGGGTTGGCAGCCAAGCACTCAACCACTGTGGTGCCAGAGCTCCTCCTATAAAGATTACAGTGAAGAAAACCCTATCGGACAGTTCTACTCTGTCACATGGTGTTATGGATTGAATTCTGTCTCCCAGAAATGTGTGTCAACTTGGTTAGGCCATGATTCCCAGTATTGTGTGGTTGTCTTCCATTTTGTCATCTGATAATTCTGTGTTGTAAATCCTAACTTCTATGTTGTTAATGAGGCAGAATTAGAGGCAGTTATATTAATGAGGCAGGACACAACAGGATTAGTTTGTATTTTGAGTCAATCTCTTTCGAGATATAAGAGAAGGGATCAGAGAGGAGAGGGACCTCATAGAACCAAGAAAGTAGAGCTGGGAGCGGAGGGTGTCCTTTGGACCCAGAGTTCCTATGCTGAGAAACTCCTAGACCCAGGAAACTCCTAGGCAAGGACATTTCCTCAGAGCCAACAAAGAGAGAAAGACTTCTCCTGGAGCTGGCACCCTGAATTTGGACTTCTAAACTCCTAAATTGTGAGAGAATAAATTTCTGTTTGCTTAAAAAAAAAAAGGGTTCCTGCTGCAGCTGCTTATGTACAACCAAATACCTCATGGGATTTGGTTCCTTGGTTTGGAAATTTAGGGTCATGGTTTCATGGGACATCCCAGTTAATTGGCCTAATAACACATTTAGTGTTTCTGTTCTACCTCCTAGTTCATTGTGTAGTGCCTGGGTTCTTAAAAGCTTGCTAGCAGCCATTCAAGGCACAACAATTGGTCTCTATTCACCTGGAACAACAAAGGAAGGAGAGTCAGGAATAGGAGGAGGATATGTAATGTGTAGCTAATTGCCTCCATGAACAACTACCTCTTTTGCCATGAGACCAGAAGAGCTGGATGGTGTCTGGCTACCATTACTGAACATTTTGATCAAGGATTCTACAGAAGAATCCTGATCCAAAGAGGGGAAATGCAGAACAGAATTTCTGAATTTTCAAATTCACATGGACTCTAGACTTTCTGGAGCCATGGAGAGTAGATGAACCCCTGAAACTATTGCCCTGAGATAATGTTTAAACTTTAAATTAAAAAAAAATCCCCTGAAGTCTTCTTAAAACAGAACAATAGTTTAGCTTAACCAGTAAAAAAGGTCTGCTAGTAAAAGAGCATTATGCTCTTTTAAGAACTATCTATATGGGATCAAATTGATAACAGCAACTCAAAAGATTGAATGGGAACTTTAGGGGGCAGTGAGCTTATGTTAATGAGAGAGGAACAACTCAGGAAAGGAGAGTGAGAATGGTTGTACAACTCGAAGAATGTAAGCAATGTCCCTAAATTGTACATGCAGAAACTGTTGGTATATGTTTTGCTGTGTGTATTCTCAACAACAACAAAATAAATAAAATTTAAAGGAAAAGAAACCTTACATGTGTTTCTTGCATCTCTGCCCCTGCCTCCCCTCAGAGGTAACCAGGATCCTAGATTTTTATCCTTTCATTCCTCATCCCCCACTCCATCCTCCACAATGTGTAATCTCCTCCCCTTGAGTGTAGGCTGAACCTAGTGACTTGCTTCTAACAAATAGAATACAGTAAAGTGATGGGATATCACTTCCATGATTACATTACCTAAGATTGTAACTGCCATCTCGCTCACAGACTTTCTCTGTTAAGTTTCTCCCTTGCTGGCTTTGATGAAGTAAGTTGCCATTTTGGAGATGGTCACATTGCAAGGAAATGAGGGCAGCCACAGGCCAACAACCAGCAAGAAACTGGGACCCTTAGTCTAACAGTCTGCAAGGAACTAAATCCAGCCAACAACCAAGTAAGCTTAGAAATGGCTCCTTTCCCAATCAAGCTCTCCGATGAGACCACAGCCCTAGCCAACATCTTGACTGCAGCTTTGTGAAAAACCCTGAAGGAGAGGACCCACTCAAACTATGCCAGGACTCTTGACTCAGAGAAAGAGTCAATAAATGTGTGTTGCTTTAAGCTGCTAAGTTTGTGGCAATTTGTTACACAGTAATAGATAATAGAGGTTCTTTTTCATTCTTTTGCTATTACAAACACTGTTGCTATGAACAATCCTGTCTCCCAGAACGCAAGAGCTTAAGTTTTCCGTTGGTATACGCCTGGGAGTGGAACTGCTGGGTCTCAGGATTCAACATTACTAGTAGTAAACAATCAGAGTTAAGGTCACACCATGGCCATAGTGTCTTGGTCAGGTTGGAAATTAAGCTTGGCCTGAGGCCATAGAACTTGGGATCAGTCTGTGGGCAGGGTTGGAAATCACACACAGGGCAAGTTAGGAGTCAGTCAATGGACGAGATCGAAGATGAGTGTGGGGTCACAGTTGGGGAGAGTCTGAAGCCTGTGTTTTGAGCTGGCTTTGGACAGAGTTGGAGGTCACTGTGAGGATGGGTTTAGGGATCAGTCTAGGGCCAAGGTTAGAGGTCAGGCTGTCAGAGTGCACAAGGCCTGATGGCTGGTGACATCATCAATCAACAGGCAGTGGCCATGCGGGCCTAGTTACCCTACAAGTTAGACTCAATCTGGGGTTACTCATAAGGCTCTTACGCACCAGGATCTTCCAATGGGCGGGGGTGGAAGGCATAGGAAAGGGGAACAGGAACAGCTGCAGACAGAGAAAGCAGGCACAGGAAAGAAGGATACCACATTTAATAGAGGCAGCCTGGTCTCACATCCCCCAAACACTCCCAAGGGTACCCCCAGTGGGCGGGAAGGGTGATTGGCATAGGCACAGCCATGTCTTCCCCACTCCTGGCTGAGCTCACTCCTCACCCCTTTCTCTCCAGCTGTTGAGGTCTCCACCTGCGAGTCGGGTCCCAGGTGAGCGCCCAGGAGGGGCAAGGGAGACCCTTGGCTGCCAGCGGCAGCTTCCCGCATGGCCGAGAGTACAGAGAACCAGACTGGATGGAGATGCTGCTGTCCTTGGAGCTGGGCAGGGAACCGGTTCTGGAGGTGAGGACCCAGCCGGAGGGCCACCTGCCAAGGCCCAGCACCGGGAGCTCCAAGGCCGGGTCCCTGACGTCATCAGGCACTGCTTTGGAGGGTGTGCCAGGTCTCTGCACGCAGCTTCTGGGTTCTGGAAAGCAGTTCATTCTCCTGACTCAGACGGAGTGGAAGGAGGTAGCTCAGTCCAGGTGCGCAGCTCCAAGGGCTCCTGTCTGACCGCCTCCCACCCTTACCCCACCCAAAGGAAGGGGGCTCTGGCGTCCAGGACGCTCTTCCGAACGACTGGCTCCTCCCGCGCAGTCGTTGGTCGGTCGGTGAGTGGGTGAGTCTTGGTGTTTTGGCTCCGGTGGGTATCCGGGCAACCCTGGGCAGCCCGGACAGCCGCTCACCGCTGCTTCCGCTGCGCCTGCTGGAGCCTCCGGGAGAGGTCGTCGATGCGCACGTTCTTGAGCTGGAGTAGGTGCTCCAGGCGCCTCACCTTCATCTGCAGGACCTGGGCGGTGCGCAGAGGTCAAGCCCGGTGGTCTGCTGCCCCTGCCCCTGCCCCCGCCTCTATTGACCCCAGTGCCTTCCTGGTGCCCCCTCACCTGCACTGTCTCCTGCGAGGCCAACAGCTCCTGCTCCTTTTCAGCGATCTGAAGGATGAAGCTTGGGTCGCCCTGCAGCGCCTGGCTGTATCCCGGAGGCCTGGGCACAGGCAGCCTGCTCCCCCTGCGGTGGAGTCAAGCAAGAAGCAGCTAAGCAGAGGCCTGGATCTCAGGCTCCACCCTCACCCATCCAGTGCCCTTGGCCGCTGCTCCTGTCTCTCTCTTTCCTGCCTTCCCCTCCCTCCCAGGCGCAGCATGCCCCCCACCGCCCTTCTCCCCCCGGAGACCGCCGGGGCTGTTGAAGTCAGAAACCTCCAGCTACAGCAGCCCTTACCTGAGCAGTCTTCCTCCCTGTGGTTCTGGGGCACCTTCTCCTCGGACCTTCTGGGACAAACCTGAGACAAGGCACGTGGAGGAGTCACCGTGCTGCCCTCCCCCCACCCCTTTCATGAGTGATAAGAACGAAGGACAGGAGGAAATCGAGGCTGCCTACCCACATCCATGTAGCCGCTGCCATCCTGGGAAGCCAGCTCCTGAAAGAACCCCGGGTCCACTGTGAGCCTGGGCTCGCCCATCCCCAAGGAGACCCTTGCCCCTTCTGTGGCTCCCCAGGCCAGGCTTTCTTTAGCCAGGAACTTATCACCAAGGTGGGGCGGGGCTTTACGCAGCCTGCAAAGCCCTCCACAGCTGTTGGAGATGTGGAAGTGGGGTGGTACCTGTGAGGAGCTCAAGCCAGTCTTCCTGCACCTCTGCCGCTCCCCCAAGCTCTGCCGCTCCTCCAAGCGCTGCCTTAGCGGGATGAGCACCAGCTCCACCACGCCCGGGGCGCATTGCGCGATTTTGCGCATCACGTCTTCTGGTACCGAGAAGTTCAGTTTATTCAGCACTTTCCTGGGGGGCAGACAAGGGGGATGGTGGACTGGGTCCTGGGGTAATGAAGGGAGGAGATGGAGAGAAGAGTGGGTGCAGAAGTCTACGTGAGCAGCCCTGGCGGAGCCGAAGGACACCACATCTGAGCCATCCTTCTTGGGTGTCCCGAGGTTCCTTGCTGCCTCCCCAGTGGAAGCGTCCTTGATTTTGTTACCAGACTGATTCTGTCAGCGTTGGTCCTCCCTACTCTGCCATCAGCAGTCCCCCCCCGCCCCGCACCCCAACCAGACCATAGAAGGCAGAGCTACTAGGGCAGCCCTTTCTGGGTAAGGCAGTAGGGGCTGGAAATTCCCGCCTGGGAGTCACGTATTTTACTACCTATTCAGGTGACTCCAGTTGCTGAGCTTCTGCTGGAGAGAGTTGGCAGGGACATAATTGTGCATCTCTACCATCTTCGGAAAGTAGAACTTGACGACCTCCGCAACCAGGACTGAGAGAGTCAGGGTGGGACAGACAAGGAGGATGGGGGGATGGGTAAGGGAGAAGGAGGCGGGAGAAGAAAAGGATAGAGTCGGAAAATCAGGGGTGGTGAAGTTGCAGGGCCAAGTGGAAAGGTGGAGATTCGGAAAGGAGGAGTGCAGTAGGGAGGGAGGTGTGGAGAAGAGGGAAGGGGGACAAAAAAAGAGTGATCAGGGAGAGAAGGTAAAGTGTCCAGCATACCCCTGAGAAGCCATATGCCTTCCCCATTAACTCAGAGCAGGGGGAAGCTGAGGTCTCTGGTCATCTGGCAGAGAATGAGTCTCCAAGGGAGCCCTTCAGGGTCCTGGGCCCCACCCTAGGCCTTCACTCTGATGTGTGCGTGTGTGTGCACACACACACACTCAACACCAAAGTCCCGGGAGAGACTCATGCAAGCAGACACAAGACCTTCCTACAGATATACGCATAGGACAGATGTGTAGACACAGTACACACACATACCCAGGCACACACATACACAAGCACAAAAAGTCACATATGCACACAAACCCATTGCCGTTGAGTCGATTCCAACTCATAGTGACCCTATAGGACAGAGTAGAACTGTCCCATGGGGTTTTCAGAGCTGTAAATCTTTACGCAAGCAGACTGCTACATCTTTCTCCCTCCAGTGGCTGGTGAGTTTGAACGGCCAACCTTTAGATTAGCAGTTGAGGCTTAACCATTGCACCACCAGGGCAACCTCATATGCACATAGCCTGCCTAAATGTACACACACAGAGACACATTCATTGAAACGCTGAAAGAAATTCCCAGACTTCCAAATACACAGACACTGACACAATTACACAATCACAAAGAAACATACATGCACACAGACCCACACATATATACATACAGGACAGAACGTGTCGACCACAGATGCTTAGATTTCCACAAGACAGACATACAACACACACTCAGCTATGCGCGTGCACACATACAGAGATGCACAAAGACATGACAAGCACACATCTTAGTCATTTAAGTCTACGAAGCAGTCACAGACTTACACACTCAGAGACACATATGTGCACACACAGCACACATGCATACAGGATAGAACATGTCTAAATACACACGTCCAAATTCCCACAGATACATATAGAAAATACACACACTTTTATAACTGAAGTCAGACCTCTCTGCCCTCCTCCAAGCACAAAGAGACATGTACGCACACAGACTTCTTACACATGTACATAAAAGACAGAACAGGTAGACACACAAGAGCGCACACACTCACACAGGCGAGCACACACACAAGGGTGCACACCTCCGTCACTGAAGTCCCGGGAAAGGTTTCGCTTGGGCCGGGACAGAGGGATGTTGTCTACCCACAGGTACAGCTGGTGTAGTGCTTCCTCGTCCACACTGCCTGCCATTGGCGCCTCGGCAAAGCCAGGCTGTTCCCGCTGTCCAGTGGCCAGCCTTAACCTCGCGACCCTTCAGGCGCTTCTTATTCAGCCGCTGCGGGCGCCCAGACTCGGAGACTGGATTCCCAGCCGGGAGCGGCCATATTGTTTTGTGAAACCATAGCAACCACCCGACTCGCCAGGGAGCAGGGACTTCTGGGAGTTGCAGTTTTTCTCCCGCTACCTCCTCCCAGGCCCAGGTTTGAAAAGGAGGTTAGGGGTCCTTGTCCTCTCCCTCCTCCCCAAGAAGGCATCACCTCTGTGCCCAAGCCACCTGCTGACCAGCTACTGGCCGACTCTGCGACATGTCAAAGCCTACAAGGCCCCAAGAACCCCTGCGCTAGCATCTCCAGGGCTAGGATCTCCCTTCTGGGCCCTTAAGCAGTCAGTCCCAAGTGAGGGCAGTTTCACATCCCCATGATTGCCAGCTTTCTCTGGGGGGTCCACTGTTAATAACCTGCTACCACTGTTAATAATCTGGACTATGTGATAGGCTGTGATAATGCCTTCTTGCTGGGTCCCTGCCCAAAGCTCTGTACTCATAGGGCTGTCACCACCTCCCTCCCAGCAGTGCCCTGGTGGAGGCATTTAATATGCCATACAGACTTCCAGAGAGAACACGGCTAGTGCCTGTGGCGGGTCACTTAACTCCTTAAGCCTGTTCCTGCTTTGTGAAATGGGGATGGTTCTTACCTATTTGTCCCGATGGGGTAATAAACAGCTTGACAAACTAGAAAAGTGTTAGTATTTTACAGAAGATCTGTATTTGTGTGCGAACTGGGAGAATGGGGATTGGTTAAAAGTCGAGGAACTGCAAGAGCTCCTGTACATACTTCCAAACACTTCATCTCCCCCATGAAGGGCTATTCTTCGTGGATTAGAAATTGATTCAAATCAATCTGCAATCAACTGTAATCAATCAGTTCCATTTCAAAACAGCATTACACTTATGAGGGTTAGGAATATGGATCCCTTAGTGAAGAAGGGGTACAGAGTAGCAGTAAAGCAGCACTTCCAGGACCAGCTTAGTGGGGAAACTTGCTTCCACCAGATTAGCTGTGTGGCTTTAGGCACATTACAGCACCTCTCAGCGCCTCTTTTCTTATGGTTTTACCTACCTTATAGGGGCTTTGTGATCGAATTCACTTAAAATGCTTAGTACAGCGCCTGGCACACAGCAAGGGTCCTATTAACATCAGCTGGCATTATCATTAATGAGATCGTTTCAGTTCCAGCAAAAGGGATATTCTTGTTGGCAGGAGACAAATGGAAGTGATTTGCCTTGTTGGCATTTGAGGCGAAGGACCTGGGTTGGAGAACGCCACTGTTCTCACCTACTTACTCCAGAGCAGGCTGGGGGTAGGCTGGGCTGCACTACGACTTCTTGGTCTGCTCCCCCAGGGCTCCAATTGGTGGTGGTGGTGGTCATGGCTCAGGGAATCCCAACTGCTCTTTGCACTCGTTTAGTTTTGAAGCCTTGAAGGCCTGAAGGAGATCAGTGTGCCAGAAATATGAAAGGCCGTTCTGTGCTGGCGGGGGGCGTGGGGAGGGGGCGACACAGTCACCTACCTTCTTGTTTTAAAGTCATGCATGGTGGCCTTGCCTTTCTAAAAGGGAACATACCCAGGGCAGGCAAGGGACAAAAGATGACCTAGACATTCCCCCGTCCTAACATTCCAGGGTAGGGAGAGGAGGAACTGTAGGGTGGTGGTAGAGGGAAGGAAACAGCAGGGGTCACGTGCCAGCCCTAGCTGAGGTGGGAAAACCGGTTTGGGGCCCAGAGTCACCAGGCCTGCTCAGGCTCAGGCCCTCCCCTGGCTGGAACCACTGGGGTCTGAGGGCCTCACTTAGGGAGGGCGAGGAGGGGAGGGGCTGTGCCTGAAGGTAGGGGTGGAATAGCAGAAGGGCCAGGATAGCAGAGAGGTCTGCCTTAGCCTTCTGACCAGCCCTCACCCAGACGACACCGCACAGGGAATTACCAACTCATGCTCAGCCTCGTGGAGGGGTGCAATCTGTCCCCTCCAATTTCATAGACCAGCTTTTTCACCTTCCTCCTGTCATTGTTTCCAAGGGTGGCCTCCAGGCTTGAAGACGTCATCACTGAAAGGCCTAAAATGCTCCTTCTGAAAACACTAAGGAGCCCTGGTGGCACAGTGGTTAAGAGCTTGGCTATTAACTAAAAGGTCTGCAGTTCGAATCCACCAGCCGTTCCTTGGAAACCCTATGGGGCAGTTCTACTCTGTCCTATAGGGTCATTATGAGTCAGCATCGACTCGATGGTAATGGGTTTGGTTTTCTGGTTTGGTAAAGCACTAAAGGTAAACTAAATGCTGCCCTACCAAGCTCCAATCTGGACCCCTTTCTTTCTGTCCTTCTGATCCCCTCCACAAGGGCCTTCTTTAGCCTGCTTTGGTGGGCCTAGTACCCCGGTGCATGCTGATTGATTTGGCCTAACAGGGACTGTTAGCGCCCTCCCTCTAGTCCCGGCCAAATAACCCCAACCTTCTAAGTCTGAAGCAGAAATGCCTGGCTTTCTCAAGCCCAAACCCAGTGCACCAAAGACTCCTCTCCAAGCCCCAGGCAATATTTAGAGATGATGCTGAGAGCTCCCTGTCCCTTACCCGGGTCAGGACCTAGGCTTTCACCACCCTCTCAACACTTGCTTCCACATCCCACCAGAGCGGGGGCCAAAGGGAACCAGGAAAGGACATGTCCCCAAAACAGACGCAAGCCCAGACCATGAAGGATGCACCCTTGGCTGTTAAAATGTTCACCCCCCACAAAAGGGGGGTAGACAGATTTATTGAATTCAAACTGGGAAAGGAGCAGCTGAAGGCCAGACTCTGGGCCCAGCCCTAGGCCGCTCTGCCCAGGATGGGGCCCTGCCAGAGAGGGATGAGAGGCATGGGGCCTGTAGCTGCCCACTTGGGAAGTACTCATTATCACTCCCTTAGAGGGCCTCTTGGGAATCTCCAATCTGGAAAGAAAACCAAAGGCCAAAGTAACATGGACTGAGCCAGAAAGGGGACTGGGTAGGTGGGAAAGCAGGCAGAGGCAGGCTCAGGAATCTGCCGTGAGTTAGAACTGTGCTTCTCAAGGAGGCCCCGGGGTCGGGGTGGGGCTACCAGCCTTGCGGGGGGCCTAGGCTGGACCTTCCTCTGGGAGCCCTTCCCAGAATGGCTTTGGGGTCCCCCCCACCAAGGACCTGGTGTGGATGGCAGAGGGGACAGGCACTCTCTGGCCGGGAGCTTCCAGGGCCTATCCCTGGGTGCTGCTGTGGTCTAGTTCACTGATGGCATGGTGTGGTAGCACCAGACAGCTCCCCACCCACTTCACCTGGTCCCCCAGGCCCAGGGGCAAAGAGGAAGCAAGAGGATTCTGAGAAAGAGGCAACAAGCAGGCAGTGAGGCCGACCCCAGCTCCAGCCGGGGCCCTACCCAGGTGACTGGGCCTGTCACAGGGCCGGGGAAGCAATACTAAAGGATCGGGGGCTCCCCACCCTGGTTCCATCCACAGCGGCTGCTCTCTGGATTGGCGCTGCCACATCTGGATTAGGGGCATGGCTAGACCCAGTGGCTCAGCTCTGATGCCCAAAACCCCACACTCCCACCTGCCTGGCATGGTTCTTCTTGGTCACATGGACCAGATCATGTTCCAAGTGGAGGATGTGGCTCTGCACACGGTCGTCAATGGGGAAGGAGGTCAGGTACCTCTTGACCATGGCAAAGTAAGCCATGGCCTCCCCGAAGGTGGGCACAGGCACCTCATCACCATCCTCCTCATCTTCTTCATCTTCATCTTCGTCATCCTCCTCCTCATCTTCCTCCTCATCCTCACTGTCCGACTCGGAGTCCTCCTCACCTTCCAGGAAATGAAAGGTAGGACACTGGGCCTCCTCCTGGGCACCATAGCCCCCGAAGCTGCCACCAGCCTCCACTACTCCCTGGGCCCAGTCCTCAGCATCCAAGCCCTCAGAGGAGCTCTCCTCCTCTTCTTCCTCCTCCTCTTCATCACTGTCATCAACATCACCCTCCTCCTCCACCTCCTCTTCCTCTCCCAACTCCTCACCCTCCCCTCCCTCCTCCTCTCCTTCCTCCTCGCCTTCTGCTTCCTCCCCTCCCTCCTCCTCCTCCTCTTCTTCTTCTTCCTCCTCCTCTTCCTCCTCTTCCTCCCCCTCGCTCTTGAGGGCAGTAGTGATGGTAGCATCAGGGTCACCCCCGAAGCCAGCCTCACGAAAGCAGGAGGCGATGTCTGAAGGCTGGACGGCCTGCCAGGCTGCGGCCACGAAGTGCAGGGCCTCCATGAGGCCCAGCTGCAGGCGTGAGGGATCCTGGCTCTCTAGTGCAGCCATGGCCTTGAGCAGCATAGCCTGGCGGTAGTGGCCCTTCACCTGTTGGACCACTCCCCGCTCCAGCGGCTGCACAGTGCCTGATGGGAAGAAGGCCAGCTGCACATGCCTCAAGCTCGAGGTGTCCAGGGACTGGGCGGCCATACGGCCGGCCAGCAGCAGGACACGGCGAGACTCGGTGGCCATGCGGGCGTCCAGGGCCTTCAGGTACTTGGCCAGCACCTGGCTGGTGACACCGCCCTTAGAGTTGGCAGTGTAGTCGCAGGGCAGGCCGCCTTGGCCTGCGCGAGGCTTGGCCGACTTGCCGGCCACCAACGGGGGTAGCTTCTCACTGCCGTCGGCGTTGGCACACAGCAGGACACTCAGGCGCTGGGTGGCCCTGCGCTCCCGGCCGTCGCTGCCGCACAGCCCTGCGGCCTGGTCGGGCAGGAAGTCGTACCACAGACTGGTCTCGATAGCGCTGAACACGTCCTGTGAAGCGTAGCCCTCCACCACCGACGGCTGCTGCTCCTCCCAGGTGTGCCTGCCTGTGCCCCCGCCGCTGCCCTCTGAGGGCACCGCGGCCGAGCTGGCAGGCGCCGCCGGACGCCGGGGGGCAGAGTTGCGCGCCCGGGGGCGGGGCACGCCGCTGCAAGACATCACACCGTGGCGCCGGCGGAAGCGATCTAGCCAGCCGTTGGAGGCGGTGAAGTCGTCCATGCCCAGCTCCTCGGCTATACGCAGCGCCTTCTCCTTGAGGATGATGCCCTTGACTGGCAGGCCGGCGGCGCGGATCT